ACACACTCTGTTCACGTTTACATAAATGATATTAAACAGTATTTGTACAAAGTGATTATTTTAATCTTCTTCACATCTGACAATTTCTAGTTTGCAAATATGGTTGTATGTTGTTATTGTAATGAAAATTAACTGTCTGGACCCATGTAAACATTCTGCACTTTGTAAATTGTTTTAAAAGTGAAAATAACTTCATGCTCAATCCCAATATCTGGCCATAGCCTGATGTCCTGATAACCTGATCAAATCCTCCACTGATTGTAAGAAGAGAATCAGTAGGAGAGTGGTTCAAGATGAGTGACAAGGGGCATGCATAGACGGGTATCAAAGAGTGATGTAGAGAAATTAGAGATAGCAAAGGGTGGAAGAAAAAGAGAAGTTGGAGCAAGGGAATAGGATCCTGGTGATATCTGAGAATGTACTATGCCTCTTATTGTGTTGTGTTTTTAGTAAGTTTTTTGTTTGTAGAATTTACAGTTTAGAAGTAAACTAATCAAATGTGTATTGGGAAGGTGAGGGAGAATACAATTGAGATATCATTGAATTTTTAAATTATTTTAATTTTTTAATTTGTTTATGTGATATTCTCTTTAATACAGTAAGCAATGGTGAAAAAGTCAATTTGTTTACAATACTTGTTAGCAGTAGAGGCAAAGTTTTAATTTTTTAAAACAGATATGGTGGTTCGTGAGCATTTTCATTTCTTTACAATATATTTTAATTTTTTTTGTAGGTGTACAAATGTGACCTCGTGCTTCTGGCTATGGGTTTCTTAGGACCAGAAAAATATATTGCATCCGAGCTAGACTTAAATTTGGATCCTCGAGGAAATTACGAAACTTCAAATGGTCAATATTCTACATCGGTACCAAGAGTGTTCTCAGCTGGAGGTGAGTGAACAATGCTTTCAAAAAAATTATACTTAGATTGTGGTTCTTTGGTTGTGTACAATATTTTGAAACAAAAAAAGACAAGGTGTTTTTAATATCTATGTGAAGTTAAAACAATTTTTAAGACAAACATTTTTTCAATAAATCACTCCAAATTTTCTTTAAATTTCCCCCATGGATAATCAATGAACATCTTAAAAATTGCACAGATTGGCAAAAATGGTATGATTTTCATTTAACTCCCTGAATTTTGAAAAATTAGAATTAATGTGAGAAAGTATGTGCTATTGTCAGTAGTTCATGAAATACATTGTTGGATATGGTCAGTTTTAGAGATGACCTCATATCTGGGTCAAATTCAACCACTGTCTGGAGAAGAATTCGAGCAACCAGCTGCTCTAATAGATACTTATGCGATTATATCAAGAAAGTCATTGTGCATTGCGTGTGATTTTTCTTTCTTCCTTTCTCGTCCCCTGCACATACTTCACTACCACCCATGTCAAGAGCTTAGAGCTTTTCTCAGCTGGGGCATTGCCTGTATGGGATAGATAGCAAATACCATAGGGCGACATGTAGGTCAGCGCTGGATATCGCATTCCAGCAGGATGAAACACTGCCACATTGTGGAACATAACATGTACTTAAGGAAATAATGTTGTTACTCTCGAAACAATAAATATGCAATATGCTCGAAACAATAATGGTTGCACTTGTGATATACTTGCATCACGCACTGCTCTGGAAGCAGGCTCCTTGCTTGTGGAAATGTCAAGAATGACTTCAAGTGAGGATCTAAAATGCAGCAAATTTTAAAATGGTTGAATAAATGAAAAGATGCTTTTTCAATAAGTAGTATCCTAGGAATCTATTTTTACCACTGCTAGTATTTATTAAATCAGCAAAACGAATATGGCATTGCTCGAATGTGTACCAATAGCAATGAAAGATTTAAGAGTTAAGAAGGGACTTGCATGTACAATTAAAATGAGTATGCAACCTGTAAGGCATATAATATGGGTAATAATGTTACGTATATGCCTATTTGAACTGCTGTTGTAAAATTGGCCTTGTTTTTTGCAGACTGTCGGCGTGGGCAGTCTCTAGTGGTGTGGGCTATATCAGAAGGTCGACAAGCTGCCCGGGAAGTTGATGCGTTTCTTGCAGGGCAGTCTTCTCTTCCCGGCCCTGGAGGAGTTATCACCACCCTGGTTGCAAGTCAGAAGGGATAAAGAACGATCCTAAGGGCAGAAGGTAATATTGAGTTGGCAGACCCAGGTTGAGGAGGATTGCCAATCATTTGCATTTAATGAAAAATTGAATTGTACAGTTAAGTAGGAGTATTATAACTATTGCCTCATAGGGCAAAAATTGTGGTATGTCTTTTGTTTCGTTTGTTGATAAATGAACACATGTAGGAGTGAAATGAATTTGTGACTGTCATAATGTTTCATTTCTCGGTTGGTTTGTGATTAAATGAAGATCTGATGTATAAAGTTAATGTAATGTATAAATTCATTACATGTAATATTTCAAAAATGTAGCCTTTCATGATCTTATTGTGTGTGGTATTTTTTTTTTGTTTTTTTTTTTGTTGTAATAAAAGTGAAAGACTTTTTATTAACTCTGTGGTTCAGTATGCCAAAAATTAAAGGTTAGTAACTATCTCAGTCAAGGCTGAAGGGATCAAAACTTCCTAGGAGAAAATACTTTTTTGTCAGATACTTCATAATGTAGACTGATACGTATAGTTTGAATTCTGTAGAATTTTTGTTATTCATGACAATGTCAAATGTTTGAAAATGTTTTGCCAATTTGTAAGGCATGTTCTATATTGCTATGTATTATATTTTATATATTAATAATTTTTGTTATTCTCTTCTTTAAATTTTAAATCTATGTAGTGATTGTACAAGGTGTGATGTTTGAACCCAATTTTAGAAGGGGTCTGTGCCATTAAAAATTATGGTTGTCTGTTGCCATAAAATGATTGAGACTTCTTTAAAGACTACTATATAGAACTATAAAGATGTAGATGCAATTTATTTTTGCTTGATAACAATGCCTTATAAAATTGTAAGATCCATTACTGATGTACTAGCTATGGAATAAAATGGCATTTAATTATGTGTACAAAATTTTGCTTCATAAAACCTTCAGTAATTTTAAGAAAGATTGAGCAGAATAGTGTTCAGAGACAGTTTCATTACATGTAAACAGTTTTAAAAAATGATGAAATATTTATTCATGATCATTTTTCTTAATGTTATTGGGTGCTAAGAAAATTTGTTTCCACATCATACAGATGCAACTTGAAACATTTATTGTTTTTTATGTTAATATAACAGCACCTAATTTTCAACACAAGTGGCAGTGACTGCCTGCCTGTAGTTAATAAAAAATTATTCGAAAGATATAAACTTGAGGTTCCCACAGGCCGCATGAATCATCTGCAGCACAGGCAGCAGCGAATTCATGCACCCATTCATTCCACAGCGTCAGTTGAGTGTCAAGGTCAAATGACAATGATTTCGTCATCAGATAATGAACAAGTGGTTAATTTACCTTTAATGCAGGAGAAAGTAAATTCCATGTTTCATTGTCGTTTTTTTAGTAATTGTGAAATTTGGTTTTGCAAATTTGAAGAATAACTATAACAAACTATTAAATATTAATGGTTGAATTATGGTTTTTATTTCTCTTAATTGTTCGTCACCCAATTATTGTTACAATATTAATACATGGAAGAGGCAATTAATGCTGGAGGTGTCATCCTCTAGCTTTCAATTTTTTCTTCAAACTTGTACTAACTCTAAAACAACAACAACAACAACAACAACAACAACAACAACAAAAATGTCTTAAACAATGTGTCTACAACTCGCTTTCCTCTACATTTTTGACTTTATGGTTGTTGAAATCCTAGAATTAACATTGTTTAAACAGTAAAGAGATATTGAAAAGCAATCTCGATCTCGGTCACTTCCCTGACTAAAGATGAGGGCAGAAGTGGAAAGACGTACATCCATGGTTTCCCCTTTCAAGAGAGGAAGCGAAAAAGGTTGTCAGTTATCCTTTACACTTCTGGAGCGTCACTGCCAGCAATTCTCTCATTAACTAATAGTGTCAAAAAGTTGTTCAGCATGTTGCAGCATTTCAATGTTTGTGGACAATATCCTGCTTATTCTGTGAAATGAGACAAATGTTGACCACTTACGGATTATTCCACTACAGAAGGAATATTGGTGAGAAAAAATGAGTTTTGTGATTTCATACAAAAAAAGGCCTAATTTGAGAAATGTTATGTGAACTATATTTCCATAGGTAGCATAAAAATAACATAAAATTTATACTTATTGGAAATTGCAGGTCTGTATATTTATTTATCGAGGATACCAAAAGTGCGATGAAATGTAACAGTCTTGGCACCACTTTTGCCTCAAAGGCAACAGTTGCTAGGGGTGTGAATTTTATACTCAAATTACTATGATAATACTAACATATGAGAGATAGTTGTACTCGTCCTTTTATGATCTAAACATTTGATGATAATAAAAATATATAGTTCCAAATAAAAAAAAGATGATTCAATTTCTTGAAAATGAAAAATATTACGAACAATATCTCTTCAGAATATTACTTGCCGCATGATTTCGCGTTGTTGAGCAAAACTGCAGTAAATTAAACTTTATTGAATTAAAAACTGCTCTTTGATATCGTAAACTGTTTGGAAGTTATGATGGTGGTTCATAGTTGGTGGAACATCTGCAAATGCTTCATTATTCGTTCATTATTAAGTTCATTATTAGAAACTACACAGGTACAATCAATAAAACACAATATACCAACAAGAAGTCAACAATATTTGACCCTCAAACAAACTAATATAAACGCAATTGATGTCGAGTCCAAACAATTTAGAAATGGAAGTGACAGCAATAAGAGCAACGGCCTGATACAAATTGGATGATAGGAAAATAAGATTAGTTTTTTTCCCCCCCTAAACATATAATGTTTAAAGGAATGAAGGACTAGAAAGCAAATTAATTCGAGGAATGTCATAGTTTGAGTAATTTGATAATTCTCCATAGTATAGTTTCTTCTAGAAGCAAAATGCCAAAAGGAGGCATTAATACCAGGAAATATCAGCATGATTTCCTAATTTGGGGAGGCCCAGGGCTGCGCACTCGTTGCTCCAGCCTAGCTGTGCCCTGCTAGTGACCATTTTAATGAAATTTTAAATCTCAATGCAGACAACATAAGAAAATCTGACGCTTAACTATTGTAAAGCTAGACCACATGAACGTCTTAGCACTGCACTAATGTAAGAAAATATTCCATTAATTCAAATAATAATCTTAATGATTTACTAGTAAAATGTAAAAAAAAAAAATTGAAAACAAATTTAGGGGTCTACCTGATGTTTTAAAAAGGTTATTTACCAAAATTATTTATGTATTAAATAACTAGACACAATTAGGAATATTTTTTTTCTGTATCAGTTGAGTTATATGCACTGGGAAGCTGAAAAATTCAACATCTGATGAGTCTGTGCTTTGGTTTGGAGTGGCAGCGATAAAAACATGTCCGATCACTAAACAAAATCCGGTTATTGAAATGCTGCAAGCAATTCCGCTGCCGCTAAAATAGCCTGCTGCGCAGGTCCGAAAGTGCTTATGAGCCGTAGCGTCGGTCTGTGGGAACCTTTTCTCAGTTAAAACTCGGGGTAGGATAATTATAGCTGTATATTTACTATGTAATTTATTCAAGTATAATGTACACCTCATTTGCAAATATATATTGTGGTACTTTTAATTTGATCTATACCTAGGTTTACTTCTCTGTGTCAAGTTTTATTTGATATTTTTGTTGGATGATGGTTCTCATGTTCTATTGTAATGTTTGACTCATTGGAAAAGCAATGTGTACTCCTCCTAATGGACAATCGAAATAACTATTTCATTGATTGAGAATGTAAATTGCCATTGTTGGAAATAATTAACGAAGAAAAGGAAATTAAAACTTATTTGATGTAAATTAAATTATTTTTACACACAATATTTTGGGAAACAATGATTGTAGTATTGACCAGGAGTTGCATTTCAAGGTTTTGAAGTCAAAATGAAATTCATGAGAAAATGTTCCCACCCTTAAGTAAGTCATTTCTCACAAAAACATTTCTGATTCATAAATCAATCAATGAAAGATAATGGTAAAATTTCTAACTTAATAAAGAGAGGCTTAGAAAAACTACATGAGTGGGATCACTGTGGACAAGTTGGGATCACGCAGGTCCACGTGTGGGCCTGCATAATGAGCAGACTGAATTTGAAAGAATTTTGAACGCATACCGTAATGAACTTATTTTGTGTTGAATTATTTTAAATGGAAATTTCATTTGAGATTTGACTGAATTGACTAACCTAAAAGTTTGTTAAAAGGAATCAATTGCACATTTTCAATAGAGTATACAATTGTTTATTTGAAATGAGAAAATTGCAATCAGAAAGGTGAGTATATAACGTCTCAACCTTCGAGCCTAGTATTTTTACTTTGCGATCGTTTTTTAAAGTATGAACATTACCAATGTAAAGCAATAAATCCCATGAATTCCACATGAATGTAATTTTGAAACTAAAATATTATGATCAATGACTTTCCGAACTTTTGAATTATCTAAAAACATTGCAATAGGTGATACATTGATGAAGCTAATAAGTTGTTGTTAAGAAAAACTACTCTACAGGCTCTTTCCTGTAAGGGTTCAAATTAACATTTACATAATATTTTATTCTTTAAAACATTTTTAAAACTAAACAATTCTGATTTAATTATGACTTTAATATACATGTAATATATTGTTTGGATCTATCCTGTGTAATTTTTCTGGAAATGTTTAGTGAATGTGAAGATTTTTGATTTGTATATTGTTTGGATCTATCACATTTAATTTTTTCTGGAAATGTTGATTTGATGTAAATGTTTTGATTTGATGACTGATTCAAGAAAAAAATCTTCTATTTTGTGCTCTCTTCGGTTAGAATGGCATTATCTTATTAGTAAGAGAGATCCTGAACATTTCAGGAGGTTTCATTATCACAATGTTATTTTAACCATTAAGATTCTTGCGTCAGAAAAACTATAAATTAGCATTTTAGAACAATGCAAACACAAGATGTGAGAACAATTATTATATCTAGGTAAGAAGTCTAAAAATGGATTGTTTTTGAATCTCCACGCTACTGTTTGTATTAAAAGCTCACAAAATTGTTTTTGGGTTAAAAAATTGTCTGTTCAGGTTTGAAGCCATTTCAACAGACAAATCAATTTTGTCCTTAAAAATATCATTTGTCCTGTGTACCTAATTATGATGAGTTTTGTTGCATGTTTGAAAAATAATTCCATGATTACAAGGCCATAAAGGGATCAATATATTCCACATAATATTGCATGCACTCTTCTTTCTTATATATATACACATATATAGATAGTGATTCTGGTATTCATGAAATACTCAAAATGTATGTTTTAGCCACTTTTGTGAGTGTGATCAGAACAGTCAGAACTAATTTTTTTTATGGTATGTAGAAGTGTTTGCCCATACACATTTCAAGCACTTCTATAGTTATTAAAAACCGTACAGTTTTTTCTAAGGACCTGAAAAAATGAGGTATAAGGTTATGTGGAATGAACTGCTTTTAGTTAGTTAGAGGTGAAATCTATGGGGTAAAGGAGGAGGAAAATATAATTGTGTACCAAAAAATTACAGTAAAATCTGTCTAAACTGAAATCAATTGTGACAAAAATTTATTTCAGTTTAAGGTGGTTTCCCTTTTATGCAGGGTTGTCCATTATATGACACTTGCTATATTGATATTTCCATCCTAAAACTAGTAAATTACAACTTAATTAAAACTATAAAAATATTTTAACATATAGTATATTTATGAAAGAAATTACCAATTAATGGTTATTAGACATATTTCTGACAATTAAAAGGAAAATTTTCACGACTTCGGCACTAAAATATTATTTTTTCCAACATTCATTTACAGTTTTTTTGCTTTCGGTTTTCCCACTTACTAACACCTTTTCAATTATGTTTTCTGAAATTGAGAAATTTTAATATTTAGGTTTTATTGTTGTTTTTTTTTTTTAACCATTGTTAAACTGGTTGTGAAACTCATAAAAACCACCACCTCACTGCCTAGAGGCTGAACCCGGACTGCTCGCTGACTCTTACAACAGACAATGTGTCACAACCTTGAGTACAAATCTTTCTGATTCCATTGCATGCCTTGACCAAGGAGTTACAGTTGTGAACGCAGAACCAGTAGATGCGTGAATACAAGCCATGATCATGCACCTTCCCCCTTCCCATGCTTGGAGAGCCAGGAGAGATGGGATTCCCCTAGGGCCTAGGACTTCAGAGGCAAGTGACCCCAATGTCGAATTCTATGCTGATAACTGAAGCTCCTTGCCTTCACTGTGCGACTGCCATGACTGAAGCTCGGATGCATTCATTCTATGAATAGTATCTAGTGTTTCTCCGTCAATTACATTAAACTCTCAGAAATTTCGTTTTATGGAAGTTTTTCTTCCTGCAGGACATGAAAAATCATTCAGTTTCCACGTTAGGGGCAGATTTTGTTTTATGCTTTGTAAAATGCCATTTAACTCACAGGCCACAGAAATTTTCCGGTAACTGCAGGATTCTCGGTTTAGACAGTTCTTACTGTAAAAAGTTATTTTTACAGGAAGGGAATGCCGATATAATAAAAATTAATTTTCTTTTAATTTTGTGAATTTTAGGTTCTTTCATAATTGTAATTCCAATTCTAATTGTGCTCTTAAAAC